GCAGAGAGTTCCACTGCTGAACAGCTCTCACAGTCAGAAAGTTCTTCCTCATGTTCTCCTTTCTTGTAGTTTGAAGCCATTGTTCCATAGCATCCTTGCCTCCAGGGAAGCATAGAACAAGCTTGCTCCCTCCTCCCTGTGACTTCCTCTCACATATTTATACATGGCTATCATATCTCCTCTCAGCCTTCTCTTCTTCAGGCTAAACATGCCCAGCTCCTTTAGCCGCTCCTCATAGGGCTTGTTCTCCAGACCCTTGATCATTTGAGTCGCCCTCCTCTGGACACGTTCCAGCTTGTCAATATCTCTCTTGAATTGTGGTGCCCAGAATTGGACACAATATTCCAGCTGTGGTCTAACCAAAGCGGAATAGAGGAGTAGCATTACTTCCCTAGATCTAGACACTCTGCTCCTATTAATGCAGGCCAAAATCCCATTGGCTTTTTTTGCCGCCACATCACATTGTTGGCTCATATTTAACTTGCTGTCCACGAGGACCCCAAGATCTTTTTCACACGTATTGCTCTCGAGCCAGGCATTGTCCCCCATTCTGTATCTTTGCATTTCGTTTTTTCTGCCAAAGTGGAGTATCTTGCATTTGTCCCTGTTGAACTTCATTTTGTTAGTTTCGGCCCCTCTCTCTAATCTGTCAAGATCGTTTTGAATCCTGCTTCTGTCCTCTGGAGTATTGGCTATCCTTCCCAATTTGGTGTCGTCTGCAAACTTGATGATCCTGCCTTCTAGCCCTTCATCTAAGTCATTAATAAAGATGTTGAACAGGACCGAGCTCTTTGTGACTCAGTGTGAGTATCTTCCTATGTTGTTCGACTATCTGATGACTCGGATTGTTTGCAACTACAAGGAATGAGTATCTGTGAATCCTGATCCTATATTTGTATATACTGCAACAGTGAAGATTGAAGCCTCCCCATATTTTGGATGAAAATCTAAATCTGTGAGTTTACTATACAGTGTGTAGTAGATAAGGTCAGATGCCAGCAGTTGGACTCTGCTGATTGACAGGCGCAAGTTGTGAATGGACTTTGTTGTATTTTCCTTGCTTCTGGGACCCTTGCTATCCAGCTTGCAGCGGTTCAGGGAGGACGGGATTTGGAAACTATAAAAAACCACTCTGCTTGGATCTGCATGCATTATTTGCCAATACATCACACAGTCCTAGACACATAGGAAGTGCCCGAAGTGTGATCCAATACAACAGCCTGCAGAGTGATCTTGTTTGTTGTGTATCAAATAATAATAATAATAATAATAATAATAATAATAATAATAATATTCCACTCTATCTCCCTGAGGGTACTCAGAGCAGAATAATACAACTTCTCTGTGTAGTCTGAGATAGTGGTTGTTAGAGTGTTCTCCAATAATATGCAGCATGTATTTTCATTCAATGGACCAAGTTTGGCGCAAATACCCAATACGCCCAAATTTCAATCCTGTTGGGGTTGGGGGGGATTGATTTTGTCATTTGGGAGTTGTAGTTGCTGGGATTTATAGTTCAGCTACAATCAAAGAGCATTCTGAACTCCACCAATAATGGAATTGAACCAGACTTGGCACACAGAACTCCCACAACCAACAGAAAATACTGGAAGGGTTTGGTGGCTATTGACCTTGAGTTTGGGAGTTGTAGTTCACCTACATCCAGAGAACACTGCAGACTCAAACAATGATAGATCTGGACCCAACTCAGCATGAATACGCAATATGCCCACTGGTAGAGTTTGGGGGGGGGGGGAGGAAACCATGACATTTGGGAGTTGTCTGTTGATGGCATTCGATTTATTTTATTTATTTATCGTGTCATCTGCAACCAGAACATTGTATTACATTTCTAACAGAACAAAACAAACAAACAGGTAAAAAAAACAAATTTTGCAAACTTGGTAGCTGATTAAATGTCCTTTGACCAGTATCTGGCCACTTGGAGTGCCTCTGTGTTGCTGCAAGAAGGTCCTCCATTGTGCATGTGGCAGGGCTCAGGTTGCATTGCAGCAGGTGGTCAGTGGTTTGCTCTCTCTTCGCACTCGCATGCCGTGGATTCCACCCTGTAGCCCCATTTCTTAAGATTGGCTCTGCATCTCGTGGTGCCAGAGCGCAGTCTGTTCAGCGCCTTCCAAGTCGCCCAGTCTTCTGTGTGCCCAGGGGGAGTCTCTCATCTGGTATCACCCACGGATTGAGGTGCTGGGTTTGAGCCTGCCACTTTTGAACTCTCGCTTGCTGAGGTGTTCCAGCGAGTGTCTCTGTAGATCTAAGAAAACTATGTCTTGATTTAAGTCGTTGACGTGCTGGCTGATACCCAAACAAGGGATGAGCTGGAGATGTCTCTGCCTTGGTCCTTTCACTATTGGCTGTAACTTCCCGGCGGATGTCAGGTGGTGCAATACCGGCTAAGCAGTGTAATTTCTCCAGTGGTGTAGGGCGCAGACACCCTGTGATAATGTGGCATGTCTCATTAAGAGCCACATCCACTGTTTTAGTGTGGTGAGATGTGTTCCACACTTGGCATGCATACTCAGCAGCAGAGTAGCACAGCGCAAAGACAGATGTCTTCACTGTATCTGGTTGTGACCCCCAGGTTGTGCCAGTCAGCTTTCGTATGATATTGTTTCTAGCACCCACTTTTTGTTTGATGTTCAGGCAGTGCTTCTTGTAGGTCAGAGCACGGTCCAGAGTGACTCCCAGGTATTTGGGTGCGCTGCAATGCTCCAGTAGGATTCCTTCCCAGGTAATCCTCAGAGTTCGGGATGCTTGTCTGTTTTTGAGGTGAAAAGCACATATCAGTGTTTTAGATGGATTAGGGATCAGCTGGTTTTCCCTGTAATAGGCAGTATGAGCACCTAGAGCTTCGGAGAGCTTCTGTTCAACCATCTCAAAGCTCCCTGCTTGAGCGTAATGGCACGATCATCAGCATAGATGAAACCCATCAGATGTTTTCTGATGGTCTTTGGCGACCCCTCTGGAACCTCCTCACGATCCCTCCAGGAGTCGCGACCCCCAGGTTGAGATACGCTGGGATAGAGAAATAGAAAAGGTGCTGGATTCCACATATAGTAAACAGTAGAATTGGATGACTTAGAGCCCTTCCACGCATTCTGAAAGCAAAGCCTGTCCATATGTTGCCAGTTTTTAATCCAAAACCCAATCGCTGGTGTTACGTCGTGCAATGTTGCCAAGTCACCTTCTTCGCCTCGGTTGCAATTTTGAGTTTTGGGGTCCAAGCCGAGCCTTAAATCAGGACGGAGACGCACTTGCTAAGTCAAAGCCATCTCCCGAATCGCGAGACCCTCGCCAGAACGCCACGTCTTGGTTGGATTTGTTGCTTCCGCCTCGCAAATACGGTGCCAGATGGGAGACCAGAATGCAGCGACTGTGGCTGTTTGCAAACGCGCCGCCCGAAACATTGAGAATATTTGTCATCAAGGAGCGAAGCTGCGGAGGGAGTTGCGCTTGGGAGGGGGATCGCGGCACTTCGTATTAATAGCACGACCTTGCGCTCTTGCGCCGTGGGCCTTGGAGGGAGGATGCATTCGGAGCGACACATTGGGAGGAATTAAACGCATCCTTTCTGGACGGCTGCCCGCAATGCTAACGACAGCGGATGGAAGCGCGGCCCTTTCTGGGTACCTGCACATTTCATTTTCGGCAGAGTGGCTTTTAATACAAAGCCATCACTTTATATTATTGGATTGGACTTTTCCGTTGCAGTGGGTCGGGAAAGGAAGGAAGGAAGACTATTACGAGCTAAACCGTAAATCAGAAACAATTTTTCCCAAAATATTGGGGTCTATGCACCTTTGTTCACCCTTGATCATGGAGACTCGAAGTGGCTGAAACAGAAATTAAAATGCAAAATATTCTGCAAAATATTAAGATGAATGGGTTGCTGATCCTATTTGCAATCGAAGGTTTGTACTATGTGCTCTTCCAACGCGTTAATGGGTCTTTGAGTTTTCCTGCCATGTTCCAGAAGCGTTTTCTCCTGACGTTTCGCCCACATCTATGGCAGGCATCCTCAGATGTCGTGTTGTTTTTTAAATTAATTTAGTGGCTTTAGTGTTTAGCAAGCTGCCTCCTGATTGGGTTGCTGTGAGTTTTCCGGGCTGTCTGGTCATGTTCTAGAAGCATTCTCTCCTGATGTTTCGCCCACATCTATGGCAGGCATCCTCAGGGGTTGTGTTGTTGTTTAATTAACTTAGTGGCTTTAGTGTTTAGCAAGCTGCCTCCTGATTGCGTTGCTGTGAGTTTTCCAGACTCTCTGGCCATGTTCCAGAAGCATTCTCTCCTGACATTTCGCCCACATCTATGGCAGGCATCCTCAGATGTTGTGTTGTTTTTTTAAATAATTTAGTGGCTTTAGTGTTTAGCAAGCTGCCTCCTGAATGCGTTGCTGTGAGTTTTGCGGGCTGTCTGGCCATGCTCCAGAAGCATTCTCTCCTGATGTTTTGCCCGCATCTATGGCAGGCATCCTCAGGGGTTGTGTTGTTGTTTAATTAACTTAGTGGCTTTAGTGTTTAGCAAGCTGCCTCCTGATTGGGTTGCTGTGAGTTTTCCAGGCTGTCTGGCCATGTTCCAGAAGCATTCTCTCCTGACGTTTCGCCCACATCTATGGCAGGCATCCTCAGAGGTTGTGTTGTTGTTTAATTAATTTAGTGGCTTTAGTGTTTAGCAAGCTGCCTCCTGATTGGGTTGTGGTGAGTTTTCCAGGCTGTCTGGCCATGTTCTAGAAGCATTCTCTCCTGACGTTTCGCCCACATTAATGGCAGGCATCCTAAGAGGTAGATCCAGACCTCAAGAGGTGAAAATGCAGTGCTCTCTCCTGAGATAAGGTTCCTCTCCCAATTTGTTGGAGACAAAACAAATGCCAAAGTATTTGCTGCAAAGCTACTCCAAGCTACTACGGGTTCCTTAATTCACACAAACACTTTGTACAAAGTTCAGAAGCAGCGATTCTAATGGCCTTTTTTCTCTCCTGTCTCCAGGCGTGAAGAAAGCCTTGTCCCTCCCCGGATAAGCGACGGCTCTCAGACATTCAAACCGCATCATGGAACTTTGCAAAGACGCAACGGACTTGAGGAAGGTCCTGCTCTAGAACATCGATGGCCGATGCATCCTGGGACTAATGGGATCTTTCAGCAGCGTTGGGTGAGATGCCCGAAGACAAAGTTCCCACTATGGTGCAAAGGTATGTTCCTTGATGCATTCTTGGTTTTATATTTGCCTTTTAAGTGTTCTCTTGGGCATTCCCTTATCCTTTTCCCCCTTTCACGGTCGTGTGTGTGGCTTTTGTGGCAAAGGGTCATGGCAAGAAGAGGGAAGGGATATCTTCAGTTCAGAAGGAGATAGAGAAGACGTCAAGTCAATGTGAGAAAGTAGACCAAGTCAAGGAACCCCAGCTCCTGGACCTTGACACATATTTGCAATCACGACTGCAAATGAACTGGATTCAATGTGTTGCTGAAGGCTTTCATGGCCAGAATCAATGGGTTGTTATGAGTTTTCCGGGGTGTCTAGACATGTTCCAGAAGCATTCTCTCCTGACATTTTGCCCACATCTATGGCAGGCATCCTCAGATGTTGTGTTGTTTTTTTAAATAATTTAGTGGCTTTAGTGTTTAGCAAGCTGCCTCCTGAATGCGTTGCTGTGAGTTTTGCGGGCTGTCTGGCCATGCTCCAGAAGCATTCTCTCCTGATGTTTTGCCCACATCTATGGCAGGCATCCTCAGATGTTGTGTTGTTGTTTAATTAATTTAGTGGCTTTAATGTTTAGCAAGCTGCTTCCTGATTGGGTTGCTGTGAGCTTTGCGGGCTGTCTAGACATGTTCCAGAAGCATTCTCTCCTGACGTTTCACCCACATCTATGGCAGTCATCCTCATAGGTTGAGAGGTCTGTTAGAAACTAGGAAAATGGGGTTTATATATCTGTCGAATGTCCACCTCTCCTTTTTCATGTGGGCGACTAACAATCTCGTCTCCTCTAATTATTATTACTATTATTATTACCGTATATACTCAGGTATAAGCCAAGTTTTCATCCCTTTTTTAAGGCTGAAAAAGCCCTGCTTGGCTTATACTCGAGTCAAAGTTATTTATTATTTTACCCTGTTATTAATAATAATAATAATAATAATAATAATAATAGATGTATTATTTTACTCTATTTATTATTATTATTATTACATTTACATTATTTTACTCTATTATTATTTTACTCTATTATTATTTTCATTACATTCATTATTTCACTCTATTATTATTATTATTATTATTATTATTATTATTATTACAATGGGTTTATATATCTGTCAAACGTCCACCTCTCCTTTCTCCATGTGGGCGGCTAACAATCTCGTCTCCTCTAATTATTATTACTATTATTACTACCGTATATACTCGGGTATAAGCTGAGTTTTCATCTGTTTTTTTAGGCTGAAAAAGCCCTGCTCGGCTTATACTCAAGTCAAAGTTATTTATTATTTTTGTTATTATTATTATTATTATTATTATTATTATTATTATTAATACATGTATTATTTTACTCTATTTATTGTTATTATTATTACATTTACATTATTTTACTCTATTATTATTTCATTACATTTATTATTTTACTCTATTTATTATTATTATTATTAAAATTATTATTACATTTACATTATTTTACTCTATTATTATTTTCATTACATTTATTATTTTACTCTATTTATTATTATATATTTTTATTATTACATTTACATTATTTTACTCTTATTATTTTCATTACATTTATTATTTTACTCTATTTATTATTATTATATATTATTATTACATTTACATTATTTTACTCTATTATTATTTTCATTACATTTATTATTTTACACTATTTATTATTATATTATTATTACATTTATATTATTTTACTCTATTATTATTTCATTACATTTATTATTTTACTCTATTTATTATTATTATTATTATTATTATTACATTTACATTATTTTACTCTATTATTATTATCATTACATTTATTATTTTACTCTATTATTATTACATTCATATTATTTTACTCTATTATTATTTTCATTACATTTATTATTTTACTCTATTTGTTATTATTATTACATTTACATTATTTTACTCTATTATTATTTTCATTACATTTATTATTTTACTCTATTTATTATTATTATTACCTTTACATTATTTTACTTTATTATTATTTTTTATTATTATGACCCATCAACCTCTGAGGATGCCTGCCATAGATGTGGGCGAAACGTCAGGAGAGAATGCTTCTGGAACATGGGCATACAGCCTGGAAAACTCACAGCAACCCACTAATTGTGTTTACTTTTCTGTACCTCCAGTGTTATGTTTTGCCGACTTTGTAGGGGTTTTTTTTGTATTATTATTATTATTATTATTATTATTATTATTATTATTTCTTTTCACAATTCTTGTTATTCTATTAGCTTTATTCAGTTGTAATGTATTTAAAAACACAAAGTTTGCAAATTTGTCATTATACTAAATGTCCTTTGACCAGTATCTGGCCACTTGGAGTGCCTCTGGTGTTGCTGCAAGAAGGCCCTCCATTGTGCATGTGGCAGGGCTCAGGCTGCATTGTAGTCGGCGGTCTGTGGTTTGCTCCTCTCCACACTCGCATGTCGTGGACTCCACTTTGTGGCCCCATTTCTTAAAGTTGACTCTGCATCTCGTGGTGCCACAGCACAGTCTGTTCAGCGCCTTCCAAGTCGCCCAGTCTTCTGTGTGCCCATGGGAGAGTCTCTCATTTGGTATCAGCCATTGATTGAGGTTCTGGGTTTGAGCCTGCCACTTTTGGACTCTCGCTTGCTGAGGTGTTCCAGTGAGTGTCTCTGTAGATCTTAGGGAACTATTTCTTGATTTAAGTCATTGGTGTGCTGGCTGATACCCAAACAAGGGATGAGCTGGAGATGTCTCTGCCTTGGTCCTTTCACTATTGGCTGCTACTTCCCGGCTGATGTCAGCTGGTGCAATACCGGCTAAACAATGTAATTTCTCCAGTGGTGTAGGGCGCAGACACCCGTGATAATGCGGCATGTCTCATGAAGAGCCACATCCACTGTTTTAACGTGGTGAGATGTGTCTCATACTGGGCATGTGTACTCAGCAGCAGAGTAGCAAAGCGCAAGGGCAGATGTCTTCACTGTGTCTGGTTGTGATCCCCAGGTTGTGCCAGTCAGCTTTCGTATGATATTGTTTCTAGCGCCCACTTCTTGCTTGATGTTTAGGCAGTGCTTCTTGTAGGTCAGGGCACCGTCCAGAGTGACTCCCAGGTATTTTGATGTGCTGCAATGTTCCAGTGCAGTGTTTCTCAACCTTTCTAATGCCACGACCCCTGAATACAGTTCCTCATGTCATGGTGACTCCCAACCATGAATTATTTTCGTTGCTACTTCATAACTGTAATTTTGCTACTGTTATGAATCATAATGTAAATATCCGATATGCAGGATGTATTTTCATTCACTGGACCAAATTTGACACAAATACCCAATATGCCCAAATCTGAACACTGATGGGTTTGGGATGGGGGGTTGATTTTGTCATTTGGGAGTTGTAGTTGCTGGGATTTACAGTTCAGCTACAATCAAAGAGCATTCTGAACTCCACCAATGATGGAATTGAGCCAAACTTGGCACACAGAACTCGCATGACCAACAGAAAATACTGGAAGTGTTTGCTGGGCATTGACCTTGTGTTTGGGAGTTGTAGTTCACCTACATCCAGAGAACACTGTGGACACAAGCAATGATGGATCAGGACCAAACTTGTCACAAATAGTCAATATGCCCTAATGTGAACACTGGTGGAGTTTGGGGAAAATAGAGACTGACATTTGGGAGTTGTAGTTGCTGGGATTTATAGTTCACTTACAATGAAAGAGCATTCTGAATTCCACCAACAATGGAATTGAGCCAAACTTGGCACACAGAACTCCCATGACCAACATAAAATACTGGAAGGGTTTGGTGGGCATTGACTTTGAGTTTGGGAGTTGTAGTTCACCTACATCCAGAGAGCACACAATGATGGATCTAGATCAAAACTTGCATGAATACTCAATATGCCCAAATGTGAACACTGGTGGAATTTGGGAAAAATTGACCTTGGCATTTGGGAGTTGTAGTTGCTGGGATTTATAGTTCACCTACAATCAAAGATCATTCTGAATTTCACCAGTGATGGAATTGAACCAAACTTGGCACACAGAACTCCCATGACCAATAGAAGATACTAAAAGGGTTTGGTGGGCATTGACCTTGAGTTTGGGAGTTGTAGTCAACATACATCCAGGGAGCACTGTGGATTCAAACTTGCATGAATACTCAATGTACCCAAATGTGAACATTGGTGGAATTGGGAAAATAGACCTTGGCGCTTGGGAGATGTAGTTGCTGGGATTTATAGTTCACCTACAATCAAAGATCATTCTGAACTCCACCAATGATGAAATTGAACCAAATTTGGCACACAGAACTCCCATGGCCAAGAGAAGATACTAGAAGGGTTTGATGGGCACTGACCTTAAGTTTGGGAGTTGTAGTTCACCTACATCCAGGGAGCACTGTGGATTCAAACTTGCATGAGTACTCAATATGCTCAAATGTGAACACTGGTGGAGTTTGGGGGAAATAGACCTTGGCATTTGGGAGTTGTAGTTGCTGGGATTTCTAGTTCACCTACAATCAAAGAGCATTCTGAACCCAGCCCACAGTGGATCTGCACCAAACTTGGCACACTACCTACATGGCCAACATTGAATACTGGTGGGGTTGGGAGTCCTTTTTTTAAATTTTGGGAGTTGTAGTTCACCGACACCAAAAAGGAAGAGACGGATAGGTGGAGAGATCTTCAGCCTTTTCTGCCAAAAGGGTTCGTAAGACCATTAGAAATGTGTTTTCTGATGTTCTTTGATGACCCCTTGTGACCTCCCCAGGGGTCTTGACCCCCAGATTGAGAAACGCTGGTCCAGCAGGACAGATAGATAGATAGATAGATAGATAGATAGATAGATAGATAGATAGATAGATAGATAGATAGACAGATAGATGGAAAGATAGATAGATAGATAGATAGATAGATAGATAGATAGATAGATAGATAGATAGATAGATAGATAGATAGATAGATGGAAAGATAGATGGAAAGATAGATGGAAAGATAGATGGAAAGATAGATGGATAGATAGATGGATAGATAGATGGATGGATAGATGGATGGATAGATAGATAGATAGATAGATAGATAGATAGATAGATAGATAGATAGATAGAGATATTGTGTGGGAATATAAACAAATGCATGCACACCACCAACCCCGTGAGATGCAGAAAGCTAAGTTCGAACAAGAAGTGTTTACACTAAAACCACTGTATTCCTGGGACCATTATCCATAGTTCCATTTATCCACATCCAACCAAATGTGTCCTTTTGAGGCATTTTCTAGGTTCTCCAATGGAAGTCATGGTATTCTGGGTCTGGAGATCCATAATTTCAATAAGGTTCACTATTACCTCTCCAGGTATGTTTCCCCTCCTGGATCCAGGGGTCATTCCAGACTAGCAAACCATGGGGCATTACTTTTGAAAACATGTGCCTCCTGCCTTCCCGCTGTTCGCACTAAATCCACGAACAGAGATGGAATGAGACTAGGCCACTGGCCTTCCTCTTGCACTGGATAAGCGGCAGGGTTTGGAGGAGCACGTCGGAGCCTTTGCTATTTGTGTGGGTTGGCCCATCTGCACACTTCGGCCATTCCAAAGTTCTTTCCAAAATAAAGAAGGTGGTGTTTGCATTTCAGCCCGACGCACAATCAGCCTCGCGGGTTGCGTCATGCGGTGCAATACTCCCCAGGGAATTGTAATAACTACCGCCTGATCTCATGGGATCAAATGACAACACTCGATGGCACACACAGGCAAACGTGGGCCCTCCTTCCAGGTGTTTTGGACTTCAGCTTCTACAATTCCTAACAGCCGGTAGGAGTTGGAGTCCAAAACACCTGGAGGACTGAAGTTTGTCCATGCTTGGTCCAAGGAATAGGATCTCCAAAGCTCATATTCTCAACCTGGACATGTTTGCAAATTCATATTCTCAACGTGGACACATCTGCAAAGCGCATATTCTCAACCTGGACACATTGCAAAACTTGTATTCTCAACCTGGACACATCTGGAAAGCTCATATTCTAAACCTGGATACATCTGCAAACCTCATATTCTCAACCTGGACACATCTGTGAAGCTCAAATCCTCAACCCGGACCCATCTGCAAAGCGCATATTCTCATCCCGGACACATCTGCAAAGTTCATATTCTCATAATTGACACATCTGCGAAGCTCGTGTTCTCAACGTGGACACATCTGCAAAGTGCATAGTCTCAACCTGGACACATCTGCAAAGTTCATATTTTCAACTTGGACACATCTGCAATGCTCATATTCTCAACCTGGACACATCTGTAAAGTTCATATTCTCAACCTGGACACATCTGCAAAGTTCATAATCTCAAAATGGACACATCTGCGAATCTCTTATTATCTATGTGGACACATCTGAAAAGCTCACATTCTCAACATGGTGACATCTGGGAAGCTCATATTCTCAACATGGACACATCTGCAAAGCACATATTCTCAACCTGGACACATCTGTAAAGTTCATATTCTCAACCTGGACTCACCTGCAAAGTTCATAATCTCAAAATGGACACATCTGCGAAGCTCGTATTATCTATGTGGACACATCTGCAAAGCTCATATTCTCAACTTGGACACATCTGCAAAGCTCATATTCTCAAAATGGACACATCTGCAAAGTTCATATTCTCAACCTGGACACATCTGGAAAGCTCATATTCTCAACCCGGACGTATCTGCAAAGCGCATATTCTCAACCTGGACACATCTGCAAAGCACATGTTCCCAACCTGGACACATCTGCAAAGTTCACATTCTCAACCTGGAGACATCTGCAAAGCGCATATTCTCAACCTGGACACATCTGCAAAGTTCATATTCTCAACTTGGACACATCTGCAAAGTTCATATTCTCAACGTGGACACAACTGCAGAGCGCATATTCTCAACCTGGACACATCTGCAAAGCACATGTTCTCAACCTGGACACATCTGCAAAGTTCATATTCTCAACCTGGACACATCTGCACAGCAAATATTCTCAACCTGGACACATCTACAAAGCGCATATTCTCAGCCTGGACACATCTGCAAAGTTCACATTCTCAACCTGGTCACATCTGCAAAGCTCGGGTACTCAACCTGGTCACGTCTGTGAAGGTCGTATTCTCAACCTGGACACATCTGCAAAGCTCATAGTCTCAATCTGGACACATCTGCAAGGTGCATATTCTCAACCTGGACACATCTGTGAAGCTTGTATTCTCAAAATAGACACATCTGCAAAGCTCATAATCTCAACCTGGACACATCTGCAAAACTCGTATTCTCAACCTGGACACATCTGTAATCAGATTGACGGCAATCCACACATGATCACTTGTATAGTATTTGTACTTACGCACGTTGCTGATTCCTGCTCGTGTGTCCTTTGGGGCCGAGGTGGGGCGAATGCTGCCGGAGTGTTTGGGAGTTCAAACCATCCTTTCCGGTCCAAGGTGCCGAGGGGGGCACACGGTGCCGAGACTCTACAGGAGGAAACGGACGCCGCTTAGCCTCTCCCGAGGCCCATCCTGGCGGCGGCGTCTGTGCCGGGTCCCCTCCCTTTCCCATGTGTCAGGGAGGGAGCCGTGTATTGCCCAGCCTTGCCCCGGAACACTCCTCCTCCGGAGTGCAAACAAAAGATAAGGACAGCCAAGATAAAACCTACCTCCGAGAATCGGACTTCCATCAGCTTCCCTTCTGGAACGGCCTTCTGTTGCGGGCACCGTATATCAATAAGCACAAGATCATCTATTAAGACTTTTACCTTGTTTAGTGTTTCTCAACCTTCCTCATGCCGCAACCCCTTAATACAGTTCCTCATGGTGTGGTGACCCCCAACCATCACATTATTTTCGTTGCTACTTCATGACTGTCGTTTTGCTATTGTTAAGAATCGTAATGTAAATATCTGATACGCAGGATATATTTCCATTCATTGGACCAAATTTGGCACAAATACCCTATACTCCCATATCTGAATACTGGTGGGCTTGGGGAGGGATTAATTTTGTCATTTAGGAGTTGTAGTTGCTGGGATTTATAGTTCACCTACAATCAGAGAGCATTCTGAACTCCACCAATGATGGAATTGAGCCAGACTTGGCACACGCAACTCCCATGACCAACAGAAAAAAACTGGAAGGGTTTGGTGGGCATTGACTTTGAATTTTGGAGTTGTAGTTGACCTACATCCAGAGAGAACTGTGGACTCAAACAATGAAGGATCTATACTAAACTTGGCATGAATACTCATTTGGTCGAAATGTGAACACTGGTGGAGTTTGGGGAAAACAGACCTTGACATTTGGGAGTTGTAGTTGCTAGGATTTATAGTTCACCTACAGTCAAAGAACATTCTGAACCCCACCAACAATAGAATTGGGCCAAACTTCCCACACAGAACCCTCATGACCAACAGAAAAAAATGGAAGGGTTTGGTGGACATTGAACTTTAGTTTTGGAGTTGTAGTTCACCTATATCCAGAGAGCACTGTGGACTCAAACAATGATGGATCTGGACCAAATTTATATGAATGCCCAAATATCCAAATTTGAATACTGGTGGGGTTGGGGAAGGGGATTGAGTTTATCATTTGGGAGTTGCACTTGCTGAGATTTATGGTTCATCTACAATCAAAGAGCATTCTGAACTCCACCAATGATGAAATTGAGCCAAACTTGGCACACACAACTCCCATGATCAACAGAAAAACTACATACTGATGTAGTTTAGGGAACTACATAAACTACATAACTACATAAACTACATACTGATGTAGTTTAGGGAAAACAAACCCTGACATTTGGGAGTTGTAGTTGATGGGATTTATAGTTCACCTAGAAAGAGCATTCTGAACTCCACCAATAATAGAATTGGGCCAAACTTCCCACACAGACCACCAGAAAATACTGTGTTCTCTGATGTTCTTTGGCGACCCCTTTGACACTCCCTTGCGACCCCCCAGGTGTTCCAACCCCCAGGTTGGGAAACGCCAACTTACTTTGACCATTTTTGCCCATCCAAAGAATACTGGGAATCTCCTCTTCACCTTTTCCCGCTTGGGTTTCCACACTTTGCCACTCTTGTTTTGTCCCTGCCTCCGTTTGTGCTTTCACCCTCGAGTCATTGGAGTGTCCCCTACCAGCCTTCGGAGAGTTTGATGTCGCTCGTCCAAAGAGGTTTTGTGTTTTGGGCATGACAATGCTCTCACATTACAGAGGAGCAGCTGCAATGCATGAGAATAAATCTGGCCTCACTTCTTTGTGCTGCTTGGACTTGAAGCACCTGTTGTCTCCGTCTAGACGCATTTATTTGGCTAAGCAGATCCCCCAGTTTAGGACCTCTTTGTAACCTTTGTGTAGTTAGCGCTGTCAGACTGGGCCATTCGTGTTACGGGGAATCGTATGTTTGTCTCTTGGAAAAAGGTGTTGCAGCGCAATAATAGGACATACACTCCCGCTTCCTTAAGATGTAGTAACTGAAAATGTGCAAACGTCATTTTACTGGGTGCACATTGGAAATGTTAACTCTTGGGTTGTTGTAGGTTTTTTCGGGCTATATGGCCATATTCTAGAGGCATTCTCTCCTGACGTTTTGCCTGCATCTATGGCAAGCATCCTCAGAGGTAGTGAGGTCTGTTGTTAGTAGGAAAATGGGTTTATATATCTGTGGAAGGACCAGGGTGGGACAAAGGACTCTTGTCTGCTGGAGTTAGATGTGAAGGTTTCAACTGACCACCTTGATTAGCATTTGATTAGCAATGATAAAAGTGCCTGGAGCAAATTAAAACAGCAAAACAGCAGAGGGAAAACAATCAGGGACATCTAATCACTTCTCAACAAAAGATTGCTCCAGGCACTTTCACATGGAGTGCCTCAGGTGTTGCCATAAGAAGGTCCTCCATTGTGCATGTGGCAGGGCTCAGGTTGCATTGCAGCAAATGGTCTGTGGTTTGCTCTTCTCCACACTTGCATGTCATGGATTCCACTTTGTAGCCCCATTTCTTAAGGTTAACTCTGCATTTTGTCTGTTCAGCGCCTTCCAAGTCGCCCAACCTTCTGTGTGCCCAGAGGGGAGTCTCTCATCCAGTCTCAGCCACTAATTGAGGTCCTGGGTTCTAGCCTGCCTCTTTTGGACTCTTGCTTGCTGAAGTGTTCCTGCAAGTATCTCTGTAGAGCTTAGAAAACTATTTCTTGATTTAAGGCATTGGTGTCCTTGATTTAAGGCATTGGTGTCTGAACAGAGGATGGGCCGGAGATGTCACTGCCTTGGTCCTTTCATTATTGGCTGCTACTTCAGGTGGTGCATTACCGGTTAAACAATATAATTTCTCCAGTAGTGTGGGACATAAACATCCTGTGATAATGCGGCATTTCTCATTAAGAGCCACATCTACTGTTTTAGCATGGTGAGATGTGTTCCACACTGGGTGTGCATGCTCAGAAGCAGAGTAGCCAATAGCAAGGGCAGATGTCTTCACTGTGTCTGGTTGTGATCCCCAGGTTGTGCCAGTCAGCTTTTGTATTATACTGTTTCTAGCACCCACTTTTTGCTTGATGTTCAAGCAGTGCTTCTTGTAAGTCAGAGCACAGTTCAGAGTGACTCCCGTGTATTTGGGTGCGCTGCAATGCTCCAGTGGGATTCCTTTCCAGGTAATTCACAGAGCTCAATATGTTTGTCTGTTCTTACGATGAAAAGCACATGTCTGTGTTTTAGATCAATTAGGAATCAGCTGGTGTTCCCTGTAATCATTGTTAAGTTTTGGTTCCGCCCCTTTCTCCAGGGCCCTGGGAGGAGAGGGAGCCATTTTTAGTTCAGTCTTACAGAAGGAAATTAAGCTACAGGACGTGGACCAGCTCCACCTGCAGAAAAGCTTCATTTCCTACAGCATCGGGGGAAACAGCTTCCGGGGAGAAATAGTCCCAAAGTTCTGGCTGGGAACTTACAGCCTCTCAGTCTTATAGCATTCGGGGGGAAACAGTTTTGCAGACCCAAAGAACTCCAGCAGGAGAATCTACAAAGCCTTGACTGGTAGGTCTACTCGGGACCCAAGACGTAGTTTGGAACCAGTAGTAGGACCCACATCAGCAAAGATTGGGTGGGAGAGGTTAAAAAAGGGTTTTCCTTTCAAAGGAAAAGAAACAGTTCTCAAAGCCAGTTGCCTGTCCCTTGTGGACAAGATAAAGAAAGCCACCAGTCATTTGTATGATTGTCGTTGAAGACTGAAGAAGTATTTGTTCAATAATAGACTTTGTTAAACCTTTTCCTTGGACTGCGAGAAGATCCAACCAGTCCATCCTCCAGGAAATAAAGCCCGACTGCTCATTGGAGGGAAGGAGACTAGAGACAAAGTTGAAGTACTTTGGCCACATCATGAGGAGACAGGAAAGCCTAGAGAAGACAATGATGCTGGGGAAAGTGGAAGGCAAAAGGAAGAGGGGCCGACCAAGGGCAAGATCGATGGATGGCATCCTTGAAGTGACTGGACTGACCTTGAAGGAGCTAGGAGTGGTGATGGCCGACAGGGAGCTCTGGCATGGGCTGGTCCATGAGGTCACGAAGAGTCGGAGACAACTGAACGAATGAACAACAACAAACCTTTCAAGCCTTTAAAGACTCTTCCAGAGGAAAATCCTCAGGGCCTCTCTATCAAGGCACCCTGGCTTCCCGCTGGGCACAAAGTGCACGTCCTGTTCAAAAGACAATTATTACAGGCCCAACGCATGACAGCACAATGTGTATTTATTTGCCAAATTAAAACTGCCCCACAAAACAATGCTCTTCAAGGCTAACGAGTTACATTTGGCATGAGCTTGCCAGCCTTTCAGGTGTCATGAATCGCTCTGCAACAGGTTCACATGACTATTCCCGTCCTCCACCTCTCCAACGCTTGGCTCCAAGTCTTTTCCCGCTGCTTTTGATCCCTATTGATTTTTCCCAGCCACCCCAGCTGAGCTCACTCCAGCATGATTAGTTCAAAGCGTGCCCAGTTCATAGGTCTGGAGATCTGTGGTCAAGGACAGCGCTCAGCCACTCATGAGACCCATGCAGTGTTGCCTGGACTCCTGGAACGATTTGCTTTGTCGTCCCAATAAGTAAAACGAGTGGACAGAGAGCCACACTGAAATACAAAAAAATATTAAGAATAAAGATAACAAAAGAACCCAAATATTATTTATTAGGCATGTTGGATTTGGCGGAAGAGAGAGACAAAGAAATTTTATTCAACTACTTAGTCGCCGCTGCGAGAATTGTGTTTGCCAAAAATTGGAGAGAAAGTGATAAGAAAACCTTGGAGGTAATGAACGTGGACAAGCTCACGTATTGGATTACCCCCACCCAAGGACTTCCAAAAAAAAAAAAAAACGAATTGGGGTCTATGTATTGTCGAAGGCTTTCATGGCCGGAATCACTGGGTTGTTGTAAGTCTTTTCGGGCTATATGGCCATGTTCTAGAGCAGTGGTTCTCAACCTTCCTAATGCTGTGACCCCTTAATACAGTTCCTCATGCTGTGTTGACCCCCCAACCAAAAAATTATTTCCATTGCTACTTCATAACTGTAATTTTGCAACTGTTATGTATCGTCATATGAATATCTGATATG